GCGCTAAACATTTTCGTTACAATCTTCATCCCATTCTGCATTCGGTTGAAAAAGGACCGTGACGCCTTATAACCGAATAAATAAGAGCACGGTACGAAACAGTTGCCGTAAAAATTAGTCAAATATTGGAGAGACAGTGAATGAAGTTGTCATAATTGTCATAATTTGTATCCGCGATACCGGTTTCGTTCTTCGAAAATATCAAATATCAGACAGAATCGACGAAACATCATTAGTGCAATCATTAATCCTCTAGAATATTAAATACTGGTCAAACATTAGTCGGAACAAACCAAACACAACGACGATATTTAATTCCTATCCGCAAATTAATAATATTGTTCAAACATTAAAATAATAATTATTAGTCAGTGTACACCGCATAACTTTACCCTTGTTATATTTAATCTCTATCCGCGGAATTATCTCTAATTACCGAGAGCATTAAATGTAAACATGTCGAGAGCAAATATATACTACCGAAAGTCACTTTCTTTATTCAATTTTTATATGTTTTATACATTCTTTCATGATCTTAATATTTCCTTTTAACCCTTTGCAATTTATGTCTTTAACCCTTTAACTGCTATCAAAATATTGAGCAAAAATGTGATCGGGCCAACGTAATATGTATAATACTATGGCCATTAATGCTATTATGCTATACTTTACTTTCAAGTCGCCAGCAGTCAAAGGATTAACCCTAGAGCGGTCTTCGGGTCTTTTTTGACCCACCGCCTTTTTATATTTTTAGTTATTTTTGCTGTTATCAAGTTTACGTTCGTATGTCGTGTTGGAAAGAAAAATTATTACACACAAGGTCTCAGGTCCTTTTTCACCCAAAAGTCTTAAGTGTACAGTCAAAACGAAGAACGCACTGGGTTTAAACAAAAAAAAAGCACACTATTTTATTATGTAATTTCGTTATCTAGCATTTTCTTATCTATTTTAATATCGAAAAAAATTAAAGAAATAAATACATACGTGCGATTGCGTTGAAAATAAATTGCATTGTCAGTAACGGTCGCACGGTAAATTTTCAATCCAAAACTATTCTGCATTCAAAGGGTCAATCGCCGAAATTAATTCACAGCATTACAGGAAGCAAAATAAAAAGGAGGAGAAACTATCGAGTTTATCGGTCACCGTGTTCACAGGTCATCGTTTAAGTTCACGTAATCGATAAGTTTAATCCTGGAACGGTGGAAAAACCGGATAGTCCCTGTTTATCGACAGGAAGAGGCAGAATTCCACGGCAGGAGCAAAGGATAACGGCGTGTCAGCCGCAGAGAAGAAGATCCCCTCACGATCGTGACAATTTTAACGATAAAAAGCAGAGGATCGGCGATAAAATTGTCCTCGCTCCATTTCAAGATTTCCCTCGAAAGTTCGATCCATCGCAACCCCTCGAGCGTGGCGTCGATTGCAGGGGAAAAAATTACCTTTCACCGTGACACCATTATCACGGTGATATTTGGAATACGTTCAATACGAAGTTTCTGTGACTCTCGGATAATTCTGGATCGTTAAGAAACGCTTATGTTTACTTCGAATCTTGTTCGATCGATCGAAGATCCTGTGAAGCTTTGAAGTAGTAAGTTTCGATTTGTAACAATTGTAGCTTCCCGTGGACCGCAATTCTTTCGGAGAATTTCGCGAGGTCGTAAATCCCGCTTACACTCTAGGTGACGGTACAGGTTTGCTGTCCAATTGAGAAATTGATCTCTTTCGGTGGTTCCAATTAAGATGAGAGAATTTCGAGAATTTTATTGTCTCGACTGAATTTACAACTGTCGATGAGAAATATGATCGGATGATGCGAACTTTGTATTGTACTGTGTTTGACTGGGTTGGGTGTCACTGCGAGAGCGAGACTCCAAGCGCTGGTCAGAGAATGAACCGTGGAGTCGTCGCCCTGACGGAAAAGAGCATCGGTTACGGAAAGTGGAGGTTCGCGAGGTTCGCTCGAGGAGGTTTATCGCTGGCCGATGTGAGTTTGGTACCCCGGTCTGGCGGTCGAATTTGACTAATGAATTTTATGATGATAATCCGCCAGATAATCCGCAACGGCAATTATGTTTCTTCCTTCTTATGAAAATTTTGTTAAAATTATGAAAAATTTCGGGTGTGAAGAAACTGAATTTCCTGTACGTTTCATGATTTCATGGATAGATTCTTCTTATTACACAAAGAGTGTCCTAAAATTGCTGTTTTTTAAATGGAACAGATTCAAATTGCAACGAATGACAAATACAGATTATTTTTGGAAAATTATTATACGTATCAAATCTACGCAGGTAATAGCATTTAAATTAATAAGAACAAAATGATTTACGGTCGATTTAGAAATTTCGTCAAATTTCGAAAGAAAAACATTTGACTCTCCTGGATGATGATTTTTACTAAATCCTCAAGTGTAACGTAAACATTCGCACTTTCACGATTCGCATTACAATAGTAACGAAGATGCGATTTGATTAATGCTACTTGACAGAACAGCGGGACACGGCTCAACCGAAAGCTTGTCTTCATTCGTCAAGTGCTCTCAAGTTTAATGCACAATAACACAATATCGTTTTATACTCTCTCAAATGGGTTAAGGTTGATTTATATTAGCGACGATGTGGTCTCGCCAAGTATCACTCAATGCTCCTCAGCTGAGCTAACACGCAACACGATTTTCGCGCTGAACTCGCGTTCCGAGGTATCCGGTAAATGTTGTATTTTCTGTTAAACTCACTCTGAACAGGTCGTGCTTAATCGTCGGTGTAACAATTACATCTCGACGATAAAATGTGTATCGTGTTCGATAAAATAGAAATATTAGAAATTGAAAAATTGGAAAAATTTGAAAACTTGGAGAATCTGAAAAAATTGGAAAATAATTAACCGTACCGAAAAATAATCGAAATAACGATAACACTCATTTCTGGAACATTTGCAATATTTAAGAATGATTCCATTGACAAATAGTTTTTCAAAAAAATGACAAAATCTTGGCATAAGTAATTTGTGCAATCATAAATTACTAATAAAAAAGAAACAACCTTAAATCGTAAAAAATTATTCCACGTTCAAGCACGTGAATGAATACCTCGGTGATGAATCGTCGATGAAAAAGGAAATAACGAGAGAAATACACTACCGGCCAAATGTTCGGAATCACTATGCACTGCAAGTTGCACCAAAATTCTCGAAAAAGAGGTTAGCATTTATAATAATTTTTTAACAAATTTTTTATCATTCAAATCAATCGAGGCAAAGCGCTGTTGATCTCCACAACGTCAATTTCAAATCAATAAAGAATTAGCAGCGGATTTAATATTGACAGGTGATTCGAAATTTTTGGCCGGTAGTGTATGTATTTCACACGCGTTCTACATACACCAGACTATTAGATATCGTTTATTTAACAACTCCAAGTTGATTAACCAGGCGCGTGCGACAATTTCGATCGAGTTTAACGAAGTCGAATCACCTGTCTCTCCCTGGAGATGTAAGTTGGAGGGTGTTACGCCGGCGAGGATGATAAAATCACGTAATCGAATGCCGAATAATCCGTTTATTTGAAAACTCGCGATTGGAAGAGGGAAAGTTACGTGAAATAGATTCCCCTCTTCAACCCTTATCTGGTCTCTTCAGCGATTCGTATGGATTCCCCGGCGACTTCGATTTCTCGTTAAAAAGCCGCGGTCAACGTCATTGCACTTGGAACAATGAAGTATCGAAAGCATCGAGAAACAATTCCGTCCAATCCTTCGCCTCTTTATATTTTCCATGCAAATTCAAAATTGCGCTCCCTTCGCTTTTCCCTTAATTATTATCTTTAACTGCTGTTGTCGACATTATTATCTTCAATTATTAAAAATTATAGATTTAAAAGAATTATCATTTTTAATAATTTTACGTAACAGACACTCTATAGGATTTATTTAGGGGAGAGTCGTGCAGTACCGGCTAGATCTCGCTTATACTGTTAGTTGAGTGCACTATTGATGGAAAAACAAATAAACACTATAGCCATGAGCAACGTATTCCAGCGACGTTCTTTTTTCTTATGAGCAACGTATTCCGGCGACGTTCTTTTTTCTTCGGTATTACCAGAGTTCTAAGACGTTTAACATTTACGCTGGTGTTCCGTACGACAAAAGTTATTTTCCATGGCTGCAATGGTTGGGCTCACGCGTATTACCAGAGTTCTAAGACGTTTAACGTTTACGCTGGTGTTCCGTACGACAAAAGTTATTTTCCATGGCTGCAATGGTTGGGCTCGCGTGGAGCGTACGGATCAAGAAAATATCGATGTCTAAATAAAAGTTCTATTCTATTTTTAAACGATTTTCACTAACATTATTTATTACTTTTAGACCTTAAAATTTACCAACTAAGTAGCTGGCCGGTACTGTATTTTTCGTACGCTGTAAATTACAACTTTTTTATTTCTACCAATTATTTATCTTTATGAGAAAATTTAAGAAAAACGATTTGTTCCCTTTTATTAAGCACCCTTTGTACTACAAATTACTTTTTTGAAATTTCCTCTTTACCAACATCAGCCCAAGTTATAGTACAAAAACTTAAAGTGGCCGGTACTCTCCCCTATATTTTAAACTTGGAACACTGTGAATTTCTATTTTAACTCTGTATCGAGTAAATTAACAGAAAAATGTGTGCCCGAAGAAACGAATCCTTATCACCTAATCCATTCCTAAAATATTCAATTCTTCTGTTACTATTTTTCTCACAAAAGAGAACGAACTATCGGACATAATTTAATTCTCGATCATTTTTCATTCGCAATTGAAACTGATTAAATACGTCAAAATTCCTAAAAAAAAAATACCATTTCACGTACAACTTTATCAGAAAAGAATCGTTACAAAATTCCACCGTTCGTTTCTCCTCCATACAGAATAAAAATATTCCGTAAAAAAGGACCTACGGCGGAGGGTGAAGTATAAGTTGCAATCAAAGATCGAAGAACGATCATGAAAACTCACCTCGTATGCTCTGAAGAGCAGATAGAGCTCCCTCGGCTTGGCGTCCATCGGCAAGCCGCTCACGAACAAGGTGCGCACCTGCAATAAAAGAAAGAAAGAAAGCGATAATTAAGTTAATTAAGCTAATCGTCCGGAGACCGGAGAGAACGAAGAAAACAGAAGAAGGGGAGAAGGCGCGTTCGTAGAGAGAACGGAAGAAGGATTCGGAACGAAGGACGGATGAAGATAACCGGGAATTAGCCTACTCGCTCTCTCTTGTTTGACTGCTGCCCTAGCGATAGCTAATTGTCGAATTAATAGGAGACGGTAATACCTAGGACCTTTTCTTTCTTCTCCTGTTCCCTTCCTAATTTAACGAACCATTCCGTTCCCCCCCGTTTCTCTCATTGAAACAAACTCTTCCTCGCGAGAACGATTTCGCCGGTTTCGTGACAAACATGAGTGATTTCAACGCTCTCGACGCGATTCGTGTCGTGTGGAATTTTTTGGATTTTTTGCAAACATTTTCATCGTCAAACTGACCCGAAATTATTCGAGTATTTAGTAGGAAATATTTAAAATTTACGTTTTAAGAGGTTCAGATAGGATACAACACTGCGATGTTTAGGAAATGAACGAAATCGTAGTTCGCTGAAATCACTGAAAATTAGATAGGAAGAAATGAAACCATATTTCTATATTATTCACAAGTAATTTGTTATAAGAAAGTTTTCATTTTTCTGCCACATTTTAGTGGGTAAAATAGAAAAATATTCATCTTCTGCTTTCGTAAATTCTGAAAAATGAAAGAAAACGAATGGAATATGTGAAATTTCTGTAGAGTAAGTGAAATAAAAATATTTAAATTTCTGCCTTCGTAAATTCTGAAAAATGAAAGAAAACTAATCGAAAAGATGAAATTTCTGTAAAATAAATTAGAAAAATATTCACTTTCTGCTTTTATAAATTCCTTTTTCCCACTCGAAGGGTTAAAATGTTGGGTTTAAATAGGTAATTATGTAGAATGGTGAAAAGACGAGGAAAAGAAATTTTGGTTCCATTGTTTCGTCGTTTTTTAATACTCTGTAGAAAATTAACGATCAATTTTGCGACACTGTCTGCTTCACTTCCTGCCATCTATTGTACTCGCGACTTGCACAAGGGACGCTTTTCTGATAAATTAATAATTCTACGTAAGTGGCTGTTAATTAAAATCCATCTTAAAAACACCAAATTCTCGACAGTTTGATCTCCTTTAGTAGTTACTCTGTGTGAGTAATAATTCGAGGTAGTATCTTTGTTGGTCTAGTGAAAGTCTCACTTCCGGTGATTGTCGCGAGTGATCCAGGCAACGTGAAATAAGTTGACACGTTCTACATCTCGAGACAATTGAGCAATTTAGCAAAAGTCTGGTCAAATATTTACCAGGAAATTCTCTTCTATTTCCTTCATTTTTCTTACTCGAGTAATATATTCAACGACGCTTCGTTCGTTTAATGAAAATTTCATTTCATATCGTCAGTGACACGATAGAAAATATTTAAACGAACGTCAGAATGTCACAGAAAGTAAAAGAAAAAAAAAGGAAAAGAATATGAAATGAACGGTGGACATTTTATACGAACGCCGGAATATCGTAGGAAATAAGAAACAGAAAAGAATGGAGATTTCTCAGGATACCTATTCCGGGAAAGTGTATTAATTATGCAGCTCCTACTACTTAGATCATAATTACGAGCCATGGATAACGGGTTAAAATTAAGCTTATGTGATTAGCATACGCGATATAGCGCACACGATGAAGTTTTAACTGACTATGGTAAGGTGATAGATGGTGCAGTTGCACTCGAGAGTTATTTTCGACCGAATGACGGACACTTTCGTACTGCCGAGTGTTTTTCTTCTTTTCCTACGGTATTTCGGTAGCGTGGTATGTTATGCGACTTTAAATAGGGGAGGAAAGTGTCTCTTCTCGAATCGATATCTCGGATCTTAGAAAAAACGGATTTTTACCTCTTTCCTTCGCTTTTTTTTCATTTTTTTTTTTTTCATTTTTTTTGGGAAAGCTTATTTTATGGAAATTTCGTTTTCTTTTAATTTTTAGGAATTTATAAAAGCAGAAAGTGAATATTTTTCTAATTTATTTCACAGAAATTTCATCTTTCCGATTAGTTTTCTTTCATTTTTCAGAATTAACGAAAGCAGAAAGTGAAATATTTTTATCTGACAAGTTAATCGAGACTTTGCAACAGAATAATTTTTATACGTATGTTAGTGTCACAAGCAAACCACTAAGAAAACTACAGAAGAGTGAATTACGAATATCGTATATCGCATATATTTCCTTTCGCTGACGAACGTTCACGCGAAATCCCCATTTTCCACGATACCATACCGACAACGAAACAAGACCATAAATAACACTCAGAAACCAAGAAACGAAATTTTCATCTCATAAATCTACTTACGTTATACTTCGTAAGTGAAACGAATGTACGTATGTATGCATATTCCCTCGCGTGCATAGTGAAGTAACGACGATTCTTTGCTTCGTATTGCAACACTCTGACAGAGCAAAATATTGATTCTAATAACACCTGAGTAACATTCGGTAATTACTACGTTAGAAACGTGGACAGCTGACGGTTGAGGACATGAGAAACAAGATTTGCATCGGTCATCGACGGGAAAATCCATCTACCTGTTCCAAAGGAAACCCGTGAAATCGATCAATCGTACAATGTTACACCGAATGAATAAATCATAAAAAATTTTTCCTCTCGTCTTTTCCATCTGTGTTTTTTTCTGTGGTTTTTGTCGTTGTTGCTTTTTTGTCCGCGGTGGAATTAAAACGAGAATCGTCTAAATATTCATGAAACAATTGAAATTTGCTGACGAACATCCGAAAGTTGTCCAGACTAGTCGTATTTTCCCTTCAACCTATTCTTGACCCAGTTTCCCGACAGCGCGCAGCCTGAGAACGCATTGTGACCGCCACGGAAGTAAGCAAAACGGAGACAGTAAATTACATACTGATTTGGCGCACAGCCAGTTGAGAAAGACCCTCCTCACTCTGCAACGCTTCCGACGGATTTTCTTTCGCGAAAAAACTATTCACTGTCCGAGGGATTCAATTCGCTCCGGGGCTATCGTGATCGAAACCAGAGTTTTTCGGGGATGGAAGTTAATTTCGGATTGTGGCGGCCGATAAATGTAGGATAAATGTGAATAGAGTATTTGGAAAATTAGATGATAGCCATTTCTCGTGAAATATTGAAAATTTATCTAAGGCCATTTTTATAAAGTTTGAAATTGAGAAATTTTTACTTTATCGATGGATGGTTAAGAAATTATTTTCTTTATAGGTAATGTCAGGTAGCCATTTTATAAAATACAGAAAATTTGTTAGTAGCCATTTTTATAAAGTTTGAAATTGAGAAATTTTTACTTTATCGATGGATGGTTAAGAAATTATTTTCTTTATAGGTAACGTCAGGTAGCCATTTTATAAAATACTGAAAATTTGATAGTAGCCATTTTTATAAAATATTGAAAATTTCTTAATAGTCACTTTTATAAAATATTTAAATCGAGAAATTTTTACTTTATCGATGGATGGTTAAGAAATTATTTTCTTTGTAAATGATGTCAGGTAGCCATTTTTGTAGGAGGCAGCTTGGAATTTAGACGAAATTTTCACGTCGTTGATGAATGGTTAAGAAAATAAAGATGAGGTCGGGAAATACTAGCACGGAATAACGATTAAAACAACTTTTGCTGATCCATTTTTAATTTGTTCTTTCATCGCTGTTTCTTTTTCTTTTTTCTAGTAACATGATGTATGGTGTAAAAGTTAGGTTATTGAATAAATTTGCATGTTATATTAAATGCAAAAGTTAGACAGGTAGTAATCTAGCATAATAAATGACGAAGAAACAAAATATTCTATTTCGAACTTTCTTATTAGGACTCGAAGATTTTGCATTTATGTATAGTAAGTCATTTTCTTTCCTTTTTTCCATCGTTTACTGCAATGCTGTAGGAAAATACGATTAAGCAAAGTTCGCGATAAACAAGGAATGAATACAGTCTTCAGAATACTGAGGCAATTTTTGCTGACCTAAATTAAACTTTCTTACGTTGCAGCAGGCTGCATCTCATTTATAAATTAGATGTATTATAACAATATGTATGCAGGTACCATTGCGTGTAACATTAAGAAATTACGTTGCCTAACAGAGTCTTTATTGTTACATGAGAAACGAAGGATACACTTATATTAATTTGAAAATGAAATTCAACTAACTGTTGAAACTCTTCTTTAGTTTTCTGGGTATACAATACAATCTCTGACAAGATATGAAATACAAGAGTGTTTTTATTTAGTCCCTAATCAAACTAATGGTAATAAAATTTTTCAAAATAAAAGCAAATATTTAGAGATTTTTCTTTTATATTTCTGATCAATTAAAGGATTAACAAGACTATCGAAATGTTCTTTTCTTTTTTAATATTTTAATTGAAGACAGTAATAGCGAAATTTCACATAATATTTAGGCTCAGACAGACCACTGTGATTTAAGAGATAATAAATATATATTTTACTATTC